TTTTGAGACCTGGCACTGATCACTCTGAACTGTAATGTCACAGCCTGAGCCAGCCAGCCTGTGAGGCCTTGCAGACCGGGCCTGGCCCACAGCACTGCCCAGCACAAGGTCTGGCCTGAGCAGAGCTCAGAGGCCAGGTGGAGGTAAGGGCTGGAATGGCAGGTCTGAGGGCACCATGACATGGGCAAGGGCAGGGTCCCTGGGCTGCCATTCCCAGGTAGGCCAGGGCTGGCATCACCTCTGGGCTGGGCTCACTCAGGCTGAAAGTCAGGAAGGACAGGACATCATGATCATCTACAAGGGGACAGATGAAGGAGAAGTAAGACCCCTCCACCCAGCAGCCCCCTTGCTCAGCCTCCACCTTCACTGCCATGATATCCCACTGAGGCAAGAGGGGTGACTTTGGGCCATCACCTGATGCTTGTCTTGCTCACTTCATAGGAAAGATGTGAGGGTTGACAGGTAGATGGGTGGGTGGTGAGGGCTGAACCTCACACTCAGTCAGAGGCAGGCCCCTGTGAGTGGCAGAACTGGATGATCCCAAAACATCCTGGGCTACAGCCATGGCAGCAAACCAAGTGACACCCTCAGGCCCCCAGAGCACAGTGGCTACTGGTAGTAGCAACTGCGCGGTGGCCACCTCTCCAGCATAGCTCTGACCATATCACTTTCCTCCTCAGAAACCAGACTAAGGTCCTGGCATTCAAGGACTCCCACGCTCTGGTTTCCCTCGGCTTTCCCACTGTGGGATCCTCTGTGGACTCTCCATGGCATCACATCTCTTTGCTCCATTTTCCTAAATGTCCCTCCTTGCTGTCTGTCTTCCACTTGTCCCACAGCTCCCAGCTAGGGGCACTTATGGGGACAGCACTGAAATCAAAGTTTCTCTTGTTTTATCCCATTTGAGACTTGCAAGTCTCAAGGCAGACGTGACTTCTCCCAAGGGTCGTGGAGGCCCAGGTCATGTGGTGAAGTGGCTGATGCCACCCCAGTGCGCTTTAGAAGGTGTGCTCAGGGTGATTCATTCATCACTGCCCTTCTGCTCTTACCTGACCAGTGGGATCCTCACCTGCCAGGATGCCGGTGGCTGCTGAGACCCCAAAGAAACCTCCAGGGACCAAAAGCAGGGGCCCCACATCCACACAGAACTCATCTGGATCACTGGGAGTGAGGCCGCTGTTCAAGGACACCTGAGGGACACAGAGGGAGTGAGCGGTAGGGGGTTGTCCCTACCTCTGACTCCCTGGCTCCCCTGGCCATAGGAGAGCAGGTGGCCCTAGGGCTTGGTATCAGAATGGCATGGAGGTGACCAGCACTCCTGGTCTCATGTGAGCCCTTACATGTATGTGCTCTGGGTGAGTGTTAGGATTCTGTGTAGGGATCCCCTGTGGATGTTGGCCCGTGTGTGCTAGGGGCCTCATGTGGTGTCACAGGCACTGGTATGTTGGGGCCATGGGCACGCACACACAGCAGCTCTGTAACTCAGAGCCCTATCAGAAGCAGGAAGTGACTCACACGCAGCCTCTGCCCCCAGTAGGTGATCCGTGCTCTGAAGGGGTGTGGCCGGTTCCGGAAGTCCCAATGACAGGAGCCCAGCACTTGGCTGGCTCCATACCTGTGGGCAGTTTGTTCATTTGTTTGTTTTTGAGAAAGAGTCACACTCTGTTGCCCAGGCTGGGGTGCAATGGTATAGTTGTGGCTCATTGCAACCTCTGCCTGCTGGGCTTAAGTGATCCTCCCACCTCAGCCTCCCAAGTAGCTGAGACTACAGGCATGCACCACCACACCTGGCTCATTTTTGTATTTTTAGTAGAGATGGGGTTTCACATT